AATAATAATAATAATAATAATAATAATAATAATAATAATAATAATAATAATAATAATAATAATAGTGAAATTTCAAAAACTTAGGAATTGAGGGTTTTATATTTGATCATTTTTCATGTGGCAGAAACAAAATGCTGTACCAGAATTTACATACTTTAAAGATGGCCCAAGAACCTGGTTGGTTAACATACTGGTTAAACCATAACTTCATTCCATTACTTTTGACCTGAACAATAAATCTAGATACCCCATGAAACATATAAGGTCAAGTCTGGAAGTTAAACCATAAAAATCAGAAAGGGCAATGATCCAGTTTTTTTAAATAGTCAGAAACACATGATTAAATAAAATAGCACCACTATTGAAGTGAAGATTACAGGTACCTATATCTGACCAAAAAGAAACTAGGAGTCCAAAACTAAGGATTAAAATATGCCTCATATTGTTAGGGATTTGTGACAGGGAGAGAAAGATCTGGGAAACAGGTTTGACACCTATTTGTCATATCTTGCTGTTCAGTTATCCACTTCATACTGACCAGATTTTCATATATTATTTATTGTTCATAATCCTTTCACATCTGTAAACATTTCGCTGTATTAAATAGTGGTTCTCTCAATTAAGGTTATTTTTAATAACAATGATCAAGCAATATGGAAGATTGCTCACTAATCTAACTGATGTTTTAAATATTAATCAAACTGTCATGTCCTGAATGTTTTCATCATGAGAATTTCTAGAAACGCCACAGAATATCAACTCTGAATGTTCTGTCCACAGGAACAGTTTGAGTTTGCCCTGACAGCAGTTGCAGAAGAAGTGAACGCAATACTCAAGGCACTTCCACAGTGAGCAGCCTGTGGTCTGTTGCTTGGAGGTTCCCAGTGTGGCTGAGTGGTCTCTCTCTCGCTCTCCCTTTCATTATTCCTGGTCCCTGTGAATATTGTTGGAAATGTGACCTGATTCTAATTGTGTGTCTGCTGTTGTAACTACATCTTGATTGGTCCTTTTTAAATCTCTATTGCCAGGTTACATTCAACCCCAAATTTGTATATTATTCTTGTTAGGATAATCAGAAATAATAATACACCAAGACCTTAAGTGACAAGAACTATCCCTCTACTTCTTTTACATCAATGAAATCCTAAATTTCACACTTGGAAAGCACATGCACATCTTGTTAGTAGAAAATATACACTGTTTTAGATAAGCAGTGCATTCAATCTATCTCCAGCAACATAGCATTCTCTTACATTTTTGCAGGTTTTCCAAAACTATATAAACTGGGGTGGAAAAAATTAATATTTTTAAAATCATTCTGATTGCTCTAAGACCTCAAGCAAGCCCATAATATAATCCCTCACGTTTTCATAAACATGAGTTCAATTTATATATAAAGAAACTATGCCTTTAATGCTATGTCTTAGCAAACTGATTTTTTTCAACTTTCTGTAATGAATAGAAGCAAAACTTTAGCTCAGTTCAGGGACCTGCATGGTTATAACAGCTATGGAGGAAATGTCAAAAAGCACAACAAACTTTTATTGTGTGTTGCTGCCCTAATGGGAAGAAAGGAGGCAAAAATAATTTAACCTCAACAGATTTTTAAAAGCCCTCTGCTGACAACTGGTTGGTTTTCTTTCTATTTTTATAACTTAACATTACTTTATCTTTTTAAACAACCAAATATTGTACACTGTTCTAAAAATCTTAAGGAGATTCTTCTAACTGCTTCTATCTGATTGAATTGCTAGCATTGTTATTTTAAACTATAGCAAGTTCTTTGATATATTCTTGAATTTGGAGGATAATTATAAACATGAAATTATCTGTTTTCCCTTCTGATTTTCCATTCTTTATCACTTATACTTCTTGAAAGTAAATTATTTCAGGACTATTACTACTGTAAAATATTCTGATAACGCCCTGTGAATCATATTGTAAAAGAAAATGTTTAGATTTCCTCTCTCAATTGCTCCTTTGCACATGCAATAATGTTTTTAAAACATTTCCACGTGCCTAGCGTTTGTTGATTCGAGAGAATGGAAAGGTTTTTAGGACATGTTTTATTTTATTACATTTATTTGAAATGTGAACTAAAAATATACTTCAATTACTGTATAGTATGCTACCTATTTATTTCTTTTAACGCTACTGGATTTATTGTGAATTTCATTCCAAAGTATGACTATTCATTTCCAGGAAGATTACAGCAATTTGTGAATTAAATTACACATTGCAGTTCTTGGGCACAATTCATCAAACAATTTCATTGGGGCTTACATAAGTATTCACCAGCTGCTATTATGGCATCTTCTTTCTTGCAAGCTTCATTGAAACCTACAGAAAACGTGTAGCAGCAGCAATTGGAGTATTCAACCCAACTATCTCAACTGTTCGATGTAAACTTAAATACAACCTTCTAGTAATTAAAGAATTGTTTCAAAAAGATTTAGATGTATTAACCAGTATGTATTTTTCTGTACATTGTGACATATATAAAATGCTTTTCACGTTTCATTATAAGTCTTGCAGAGCAGTCAAAAGTGGATTCCTTTATCCTCTTTGTATATTTATTTTCTGTACATTCAATCACATGGTAGTATGATAATATCAACATTTTACAAGTAGTCTAGTAATAAGTAAAAGAAGCAGAAAAATGTCTTTTCATTTGACAATTTATTCTTAACAATAAAGAATAGCAATTGGGAAAGACAAAAATTACAGTCATATCTGTCAAAATGTATATTAGGCTTACTGGAATTAAACAATATAACATGAATTCCTTGCAGATTAACATCTATTCTACATCAAAATAAAGATAAATATTCTGAAGAGGCAAGTATCACATACGGTCCTTCTTTATAAGATACAGTATTCTTGGGAATATTGTGTTACTAAACTAGAAGGAAATAATTTAGGCCATATTCAAATGCCCTACATTTAGAAGATCCAGAACAATGTTGAATTGCTTAGAATCCCAATAATATTTCAGTATTATTTAAAAGGAGCCTGTTAAGGCTGGTTTCCCATGGTAAGCATAGAATCTTGGATTTTTTTTTTCTGTTTCTCATCGTTCTTACCACCTAGAGCAAGCCTGTCAAACTGGCAGCCTACGGGCCAGATGCGTCACACACAGGCTACGCCCACCCCGGCTCAGCAAAGGCCAGAAACAGCATAATACATCACAATACATTATGTGATATGGTCAAGTTTGTCACCCGTGATCTAGAAAGTTCTACTATTTGAATTGAATTGAATCTCATAAAGTGAGTAGTCCCCTAGCAACAAAGTCTACTTTCAACCATTTAGCAACAGGCAAACTATGATTAGTTGTTTCCCATAAGCTAAAATATGAAACCACAGCTTATATCCTTCGTATCTTAGCTGATTTAGAGATCATAAATCATATAATGTAATTCAGACATTGTTGAAAATTATACTTGCTGCAACTTTCTGGCATATTTTTCACTTTCCTTAATAGCTTGCACACAAAAAAGGAATGAGGTAATTGCATGCTAGGGAAGAGTAGGCACTTGCGTATCATTTTTTGGGATATGATTGTCCAAACGTATTGTCTACAGTAGGTAATGCATCAATTATTTTGTTAATATTTCAAAATTAAGATGAAGGTAAATATATTCAGAAGGGTTCTGATATGATTAATATATACAACTGTCTCCCCAAACAATAGATCCTATCAATTTCTTTAGGAAAAGTAGGGTAAACTCAAACTAGCCCATTATCATCGCTTAGGGTGGTATATCATAGGTAACTGATAGTACTGTACTATGTGTCCAACATTACAATACAGGCAATTCCTGAATAAATAATTATTTAACTATTTCTCAGATTCCTTTTAAGGCAAAAGCCAGTCAAAGTGACTTTTTAAAATGCAATAACATACAAAAATAAAACACAGAAAGACTAGCAATTATAAACAAACATATCACCAAAATGGAAGAAAAATTTGAAGCCAATATTCAAACAAAGGTCTGAAGATTTCAATAGCTTTCAAAGAGGAAGGATAACCAATGGTTATGGTGTAATAGTTGTGGTATAAAGGTTGGGTTACATGAATATGGAACCTGCTTTAATGCCAATCTACAATCTTTCTCAAATGTGCATGCAAATATTAAGCAAGGTTTCTGACAGCTTGAAGAAATGTTGGTTGTTTTACCTTTTATTTTATTTGGATGGCACACAAATCTAATAAATAAAAAATTAATTTTTGCATTTTATTTACAATCTTTCTGGTTCATAGGTTTGTTGAAAATAAATATACCTTTTCTTGCAATTGTTAGGAGATACTGTTCCACCTTTTACTTGTCTTTCTAAAGAATAAGTTCACAGAGCCTAAGGCACAGCTGGTTCACAGAGCTATCCTGAATTATTAAAAAGTGCACTCTTTGGGAAGACTGTCAACTGATATCACTGTATGAAAAAAAGGAAGAGTAAAAGGCGCTTCTCTTTCTCGTTCCTGATAGAGGACAGGGATACCCAATTGCTCGAAAAATGGTATATGCTATGGACAGGTTCCATTTTATTCTATTTTCCCAAAAGACACAGTCATTTCTCAGCTCCTGCAGTAAACATCTGCCAGCCAGCAGAGCAGCACCTGCCAGCTGCTGCACCAAATTATTTTTTTAAAAAATTTAAGTATTTTATCTATGGATTGTAGAATGCCATTGTGAATCCGGATTTTGAAAGGTGTATTGAAAGTCAGACTAAAAAAAAAAAGTTTGAAGTGTCTTCTTTCATCATCACAATTATTAAAACTCTGAGGAGAAATGTTAATTGTACATCTTTCCTCAAATAGATGCATAAACTTCTGCCTTCACAACCCACAAAGAAATGACTGCAATATTATCTTTAATTTGTAAATTTGTGCTTTATTAATCAAGTGTAAGAGCCACACATAATTATTGGTATAGAGTTTTTTTTAATAAAAAGATTAAAACCCGTTGAAGTAGAAATCACAAGTGTTTGATGAATTTGGTTACAAATTGAATAATATAAAATATGCTGTAAATATATACCTTTTTAAATTATAGTTAATTTAAAAAGTTATGCTTTTTAAATTATACTTTAGGGAATCTAAATTTAGGGATTATACTTATACTTGGGAAAATCACTGTGATAATTCATTTTTTAAACAAAGTTTCTTCAGAAAATTATAATATACAATTTAAGTTTTTTTCCATAGTGTGCAGTAGAGATCAATATATGCTTACTTGAAAATAAGCCCTATTTATTTCTAGGGGAATATAGGATTGCAGCATTAAATTTTGGGCAAACCTAAATTACTAAAACCCATAACAAAGGCTTACGGTCTTCATCTCATAAAAAGATGTCACATTTTGCCCTACGTTATAGTTGTGTTGTGTATATCAGCCTTTCAACATTAGGTTCCCCAACATTTAGCAGGACCAAGGACAATCTCACCCTGGGAATGATTGCTGTGCACTAAGAGAAGATAATTTAAGCATGAGTATGATCACCAACCACCAACCATGATTCTATGGTTTCAGTTAAGTGAAGTCATGACAGCAATCCTTTCTAGCAGATTGCATTATCGACATTGGTCGTCTCCATGCTATTTATGATATTTTCAATTTCTTGAGTTCTGTTTGATATGATAAGTTATTTATATATATATATAATTTGAAAACAAATCTATACAGAGACACACAATAGTTTGTGCTACCTCCAGAGAAGAAAATCCCCCCAAAAAAACATATAATCAATATATATCAATGGGGGAAATACTGGTGTGATTCAAGAGTTGGCTTGAAACTAAAAAATTGGATCTCCCAAATGTGGTTATCTCTGAAAACTCGATTCTATTTATTTCCAGGGACCTCTACCCTTTGCCTTCTCAGCTATTTTCTTCCTTCAATATTTCTCTTTGCAGCTTTTTCTGTTGCTAACAGTGAGATGTTGTTATCCCATATTTTTCTTTATCTTTGTGCTGTGATCAGTGGCCCTTTTCTTTATGTAGTTCTTGTGTTATAGAA